ATTTCCAAAGTACAGCTTTTGGATTACAGTGGTTCCCCCCCCCATAACTTCCTCCCACCCACAATCCTCCCCTTTCCGCTCCCACTCCCATTCCATTCACATCAAGATTCATTTTCGATTATCTTTATATACAGAAGATCAATTTAGTATATATTAAGTAAAGATTTCAACAGTTTGCACCCACACAGAAACACAAAGTGTAAAGAACTGTTTGAGTATTAGTTATAGCATTAAATCACATTGTACAACACATTCAGGACAGAGATCCTACATGAGGAGTAAGTGCACAATGACTCCTGTTGTTGACTTAACAATTTGACACTCTTGTTTATGGTGTCAGTAATCTCCCTAGGCTCTTGTCATGAGTTGCCAAGGCTATGGAGGCCTTTTGAGTTCGCTGACTTCGATCTTATTCCGACAGGGTCATAGTCAAAGTGGAAGTTCACTCCTCCCTTCAGAGAAAGGTACCTCCTTCTTTGATGGCCCTGTTCTTTCCACTGGGATCTCACTTGCAGAGATCTTTCATTTAGGTCTTCTTTTTTTTTTTTTTTTTTTCCCCAGAGTGTCTTGGCTTTCCATGCCTAAAATACTCTCATGGGCTCTTCAGCCAGATCCGAATGCCTTAAGGGCTGATTCTGAGGCCAGAGTGCTGTTTAGGACATCTGCCATTCTATGAGTCTGCTGTGTATCCCGCTTCCCATGTTGGATCGTTCACAGCTTTTAACACTGAACAATACAGACAGGAGAGACAAAAAGTAGGAATTCCTATCCGTCCCTGTCACTTGCAGCTAGTCCTCCCATGAGCTAAAATTCTATGCATCCACCACCAGCTCTCACAGAAAGGGATAAGGCCATTCTGGGTGAAATATAGCCCATATTTTCTAGTGTGGTATAGGAGTAAGAAAGCAGGATTTGGGGGCTATAAGGAACTTTTCCATTTGAGCAAAAAGGAAAGAAGATCTCAACTTTCTCAGCAGAAAGCCTGTCTGTAATTAATACAGATGTGTTCTGTTATTGACAATCTTAACAACATCATCTGTTACAATAATGTCCAAATCCTTGAGAGTGAACAAAGCTTCCCACAATAGCTTCCTACTTCCCTAGAGTTGTATTTCTCTCTACTGATTCAACACATTTCTAGATAATTCAAGCTCCATTTCACCTCATTAAAGCAAAATCAGTTCAACTATGTTGCTAAGTAGAAAAGCTTTCTACCTAACACCTTCAACAAATGGTGGTCAGAAAATTAGATCTTCACATGTAGAAGTATGAAACAAGACCCCAACCTTACAGCCTATACAAAAATCAATTCACAGCAGATTGAGATGCTAAACCTAAGACCTGAAACCATCAAATTACTGGAGGAAAACATAGGGAAAATGCTGAAAGACATTGGTGTATGCAATTTATTGAACAGACTGCCCTTTCTCCAGGAAGTGACTTTAGTTTGACATATGCTAGTTGGTTATAGATGCATGGTTTAACTTTTTTTGACAGGCAGAGTGGACAGTGAGAGAGAGAGACAGAGAGAAAGGTCTTCCTTTTGCCGTTGGTTTACCCTCCAATGGCCACCGCAGCTGGCGCGCTGCGGCCGGTGCACCGCGCTGATCCGATGGCAGGAGCCAGGTGCTTCTCCTGGTCTCCCATGGGGTGCAGGACCCAAGCACTTGGGCCATCCTCCACTGCACTCCCAGGCCACAGCAGAGAGCTGGCCTGGAAGAGGGGTAACCGGGACAGAATCCGGTGCCCCGACCGGGACTAGAACCTGGTGTGCCGGCGCCGCAAGGCGGAGGATTAGCCTAGTGAGCTGCGGCGCCGGCCTCATGGTTTAACTTTTAGAGCTGCAATTCTTTTCCACTGGTCCACAAGTATACTTTTATGCCAGTACCAGGCTGTTTTGATTATAACAGCCCCGTAATATCTCTTAAAATCTAGTATTGCGGTACCTCTAGCTCTGTTTTTATTAAGATTGCTTGCTAAGATTGATTGCTATTCTGGATCTCTTGTGTTTCCACATGAACTTCAGGATCATCTTTTTCTAAATCTAAGAAAAAAGTCCCTAGTATTTTGATTGATATTGCATTGAATGTGCAAATTACTTTGGGCATTTTGGACATTTTGCTGATATTAATTCTTCCAATTGATGGCCATGGAAGATGTTTCCATTTTCTTGTATGTCTCCTCTCCTTTCATTAATGCTGTATAATTTTCTTTTTTCTTTTTTTTTCTTTTTTTTTGAAAGGCAGAGTTAGAGAGAGAGACAGAGAGAAAGGTCTTCCTTCCATTGGTTCACCCCCCAAATGGCCGATACGGCTGGCGCACTGCACTGATCTGAAGCCAGGAGCCAGGTCCTTCCTCTTGGTCTCCCATGCGGGCACAGGGCCCAAGCACTTGGGCCATCCTCCACTGTACTCCCTGGCCACAGCAGAGAGCTGGCCTGGAAGAGGAGCAACCGGGACAGAATCCAGCACCCCGACTGGGACTAGAACCCGGTGTGCCAGTGCCGTAGGCGGAGGATTAACCCAGTGAGCCACGGTGCTGGCTAATGCTGTGTAATTTTCATTGTAGAGATTTTTCACATCCTCAGTTAAATTTATCCTAAGGTATTTAAATTTTTGTAGCTGTTGTGAGTGGGACTGATCTTACAAGTTCTTTCTCGTCCATGACACTTAGTGTACACAAATGCTATTGATTTGTGTGTGTTGATTTTATATCGTGAAACTTAGGCAAATTCTCTTATAAATTACAATAGTCTTTTTCTTAGTGTAGCCTTTTGATTCCCTTGGATGAAAGATCATGTCATCTGCAAACAGGGATAATTTGACTTTCTCTTTTCCAATTTGTATCCCTTTGATTTCTTTTTCTTGCCTAATTGCTTTAACTGATTTTCAATTTTTAAAAAATGTAGGTAGCCCAGGAGCCTTTCCAGATATTTGGGGGGTAAAACAGATGAAGGGAATCTCTCTCTGTCTGTCTCTCTGTCAAAATGATGCAATGAAATCTCGAATTGGAATAAAGGAGATGATCAGCATAATTTTCAGATTTTGCAAAACACACATACACACTTTTATTCAGAAGTTAACCAGCATAGCTATAAATTTCCAAATACTTGGACTTTCAAATTTTATCCTACTCCATCCAAACCCATGTATGCTGTGCATTTTGACATTCTAGATGAAATAATAAAAATTAATTCCTTTGGCTATAGTATTTCTTTTCTTTCTTTTTTTATTATTAATATAAGAGGACAGATTTCATGTATTTCATAAATACAACTCTATGTAATTCTATTTCGAAGGAATCTACTGAAGGAGAAAATATTAGATAGGCAGGTAAAAAAAGTGTGTGTATGCAAGATTATTTATAGTAGCAACAATTTGGAAATAACTTACATGGTCAGAAATAGAGCAATTTGGCTGGTGCCGTGGCTCACTTGGCTAATCCTCCGCCTGTGGCACCCGCACTCGGGGTTCTTGTCCCAGTTGGGGCGCCAGATTCTGTCCCGGTTGCTCCTCTTCCAGTCTGGCTCTCTGCTGTGGCCCAGGAAGGCAGTGGAGGATGGCCCAAGGCCTTGGGCCCTGTGCCCACATGGGAGACCAGGAGGAAGCACCTGCCTCCTGGCTTCGGATCGGTGCAGTACGCCAGCCGTATTGGCCATTTTGGGGGGTGAACCAACTGAAGGAAGACCTTTCTCTCTGTCTCTCTCTCTCACTGCCTACCTCTGTCTGTCAAAAAAAAGAGAAAGAAATAGAGAAACTTGTCTCATGAGAAGCCATAAAAATATTTATAGTCAGTTATGTCATCATAAAAATTAACATTTTTTAAAATATTTAATAAAGCAAAAATAATTATGAAGTGAAAAAATAGTATTCCAAATTGCATGACTGGGACCAGTATTGTGGCACAGTGAGTTAAGTCATCATCTACAGTGCCAGCATTCCATATGGGCACCAGCTCCAGTCCCAGCTGCTCCACTTGTGATCCAGCTCTCTGCTATGGCCTGGGAAAGCATTAGAAGATGGTCCAAGTCCTTGGGCCCCTGCACCTACATGGGTGAGAACCAGAAGACGCTCCTGGCTCCTGGCTTTGGATAGGCACAGCTCCGGCCATTGCAGCCAATTGAGGAGTGACCCAGCAGATGGAAGACCTCTCTCTCTCTGCCTCTCCTTCTCTCTCTGTGTAACTCTGACTTTCAAATAAATAAATAAATACATCTTTAAAAAAACTGAATGATGGTGATCCTAATTGTGTGTCTATTTTTTAAAAGATTTATTTATTCTTATTTATTTGAAAGTCAGAATGAGAGCAAGAAGATCAATGTTATGGCATAGAAGATTAAGCCTCCACCTGCAGTGTTGGTATCCCATATTGGCATGGGTTCAAGTCCCAGATGCTCCATTTTCAATCCATCTCCCTACTAATGTACCTGCAAAAGCAGCAGACAATGGCCCAAGTAACCAAGCAGGAGACCCAGCAGAAGCTCCTGGCTCCTGACTTCAGCCTGGCCCAGCCTCAGCCATTGAGGCCATTTGGGAAATGAACCAGCAGATGGAATATTGATCTCACTCTCTCTCTCTCCCTCCCTCCCCTCTCCGTATCTCTGCCTTTCAAATAAATAAGTAAATCTTAAAAGAGAGAGAGATGCCTTCCATCCATTCTATCTACTGGTACTTTTCCCTAATGGCCGCAACAGTTAGGGGCTTGACCAAGCCGAAGACAGGAGCCAAAAACTCCATCTGCAGCCCCATGTGAGCAGCTGGGATCTAAGTACTTGAACTATCACCTGCTGCCTTCCCAGGTGCATTAGCAGGGAACTGCATCATAGGAGTCAAAAGTGATGGCTTAATCCACTGCACTACAATGCTGCTCGCTCCCAACCAGTGTGTGTGTTCATACTTTTTTCTTAAGTGTTTGTTAGTTACAGACTAGAAGGAACAATGCCAAAATATTTGCAGTGATGGATTGACTTTCTACTTTCTTGTTCTTAATATTCCCAATTTTATTATAATGTAATAATATATTACATAATTTATTATAATGTAACATATGATTACATTAAATTATATTAATGTTGTGTGTTGTCAATGTTATCAATATTGTATATTAATGTTCTATTAGTATAGTATGCATTTACGATAAATATAACATGTTGGTATGCTATCAGGTATAATATATATCATTATATAATAAGGCCATTCAGTAGCTATTACTTACAAAGGAACAAAACCTAAGTCTGACCAGAAAACACCTCTTACTTCCACTCAGCCACCATCTCCCAGAAGTGCTTTGCTGTTCTGACCCAAGGAATGTTTGCAGAGGGAACAAGAAGGCTCCCTCTTGCAGCTGCAGTATAGAGTAGAGACTGCAGAGGCACCATGGAGAAAAGTCCCAGAAAAAAAATTGTCGTGAAGTAATTTGCTTTCTAGTCTAAGAGAAGCTTTCAGGAGGAAACAGAAACCTGTCTGTTCTAGAAAGGTCTCCTTTAGAACTAGCTGGCAGTTACCTCCGTATTCTTGGCAACCCTAGTTCTCAATGACTATTCCCCATTGCAGCCTCTGCATAGTCCCTAGTTCTGCAAGGATGCTTGTTTCTCCAAGGGTGTGTTGGGCTTGCTGCATTGTCCACCACAGCTTCCAAACCCTCTGCTTCCAAGCAAAACCCTGGGAATTCAGCCTCACCAGCAGAAGAGAATATTTTAATTTTTACTGCTCTAGAAAAGCTGATCCACTGAGGATTTACTTTCCAGACGTATATTCATCACAATTGAGAAGCTGGTGGCTACTGGTGAGGCTGATGGTGATGGGCTCTGCCTTGTTATCTATAAATAAAAATTCTCTCTGTACCCTCTCTCTTTCTCTCTGAATTTGAGGGAGAAGATAATGACAGGCTTGCATATCAAGTCCACAACAATGTCTAGCCATAAGTAAGTTCTAAAAGTTCACGTTTCTCTGGAGCAGTAGTGCCCAGAAGACAGGCTGTTTAAGAAAATCAGCTCTGGCAACACCAAGACCATGGAACCTCAGAGGCAGCGTTGGGGGTGGGGGTAGGGGTGGGCTCCAGCCAGCCCTTTGAACGCTTTGCTTGTGAGACCATGGCCAAGTTAGCCGATTTCTCTCCCTCTTGGTTTCCCTACAAGTAAAATGGAGATAACAGTTCTTGCCGCAGACGGTTCTTGTAAGGATTATGTGGAGCATCGAGGATCCTGTCTGGCACACAGCAGCCACCATATAAGCAAAGTGAACTGTCTGCCTCTCCTGATTTGTCCCACAATAGTGCAGAGGGAGGTCCTGGCACACCGTGGTACCTGATCTGGAAAGTCTCCTTTAGGGTCTGGAGTTTTGTGCCTCCTCATGTGTGTCTTTTTGCACACAGTGGGTTGTTTTGCTTTATTAATTTATTTGAAAGACACAGTTACAGAGAGAGAGAGAGGTCTTCTTTTCACTGGTTCACTCCCCAAATGACCACAATAGCAGGGGCTGCACCAGACTGAAGCCAGAAACCAGGAATTCCAGCTGGGCCTCCCACGCAGGTATTAGGGCCCCCAACACTTGTGCCATCTTCTGCTCCTTTCCCAAGTGCATTAACAAGGGATCTGGATCAGAGGTGGAGCTCCAACGGAGGCTCACTTAGTAGGCCAGCATCAGAGTCCAGTCAGTGGACTTGTGGTTTTAGGCACACATTTCTCCCATTGATCCCATCTAGATCCTGACTGTCCCCAAAACCTAGCACCTGGAAGTCTTTAGAAACGGGCCAGAACACTTAAGGTGCATGGACTACAGATTGTATTGGCTGTGTGGCACGTTCCCCCAACATAACGTATGCTTCGGGAAGATTCTGGATAGACTGATATTAAAAGGTATTTAAAAAATTCATACTCAAACTTTTCATAAAATTCGCATACAAATGTTAGGATTTCAGCAATCACAATTCTATGACTCTGCCTATATACCAAGGATCCTTGGAAGGGTCATTGAAAACGTGTATCCTGATTTTAAAAAAAAATTATGCACAATTTGCAAAAAAGTGTTGTCACAAAACAGACCTGTCGTTAATTCCAGTTTTCCACTAGCGAAGGACCCGCGTGATGCTCTATTATTACAAGTCGCTAGCAAGGGCCTCTTGCCGCAGAAGCTGTGCGCCCAGGGATTGCTGTCCTGCTAGGCGTGGGCACAGATTTTCCACCCCTGCAGCTCGCAGCGTTCTGGGGACCGCCCAGGACAGCAGCACCCACAGCACCCACGAGGGTGGACCCCGCATCCGGTGACCCCGGGGTGCCCCCCAAGTCTGATTCCTTCTGCGCACAGCAGCCGGTCCGGAGCGCAGCGGGCAAACCGCCCCGCCGGGGCTCTCGGAGTAATTCTGCCCGTGCGCGTCCTGGCGGAGGGCAGGAACGAGGGGGGCGAGGATGCCTTTAACGAAATGAGTAACCGCAAGTGCCTTTTGCCTGAAGTTTCCAGAGAAACTTCCCGGATGCCTCCAAGACTCAGCTGTCCGCCTCAATGCTCCCCGTGGAAGGGACGTTCCCAGGCCAAGCCCTCGGCAAACCCTGGCTCAGCCCCGCCCGCCCGCCGGTCTCGGCCTTTTCATATCAAAGGGGGCTTCCTGCTGAGTTTGTTTACACCATTAAATCTCCTCAAACCCAGAGCCCGCGGAATGCTTCCAGGTGTTCAAATTCCGAGAGGGCGGGGAGAGCGCAGCCTCGCGGGAGAGCGCTTCCACGCCGGAGCGCGACACGACACAAAGGCAGGCCCCTCCGGGGATCTAGGCCCCCCCGGGGTGGGTGGGGAGGCGCCCTGTGACACCCACAGCCCGCGCAGGGCCGTCTCTGGGCTTCGTGCCCGCGGCAGGCGCCCCGGCCCTGGACCAATTACCCAGCGCCCGCGCCCTGAACGCGGCTGCTGGCCGCGGGGCGCAGCAGGTGCCTCCGCCGCGCGCTTCCCCCGCCGGATTTGGGGAGCCACGGGGATTGCCAAGAGAGCAGCAGGTTGGAATGGGAGCCTGCCCGGGCTCTGCCCAGCCAGGTGAAGAGAGCTGGGAAGGTCACCCATTCAGTCACCAGGTGGTGCATTTAATTTAAAAGCAGTGTTAACCTTGTTTATACAAAATAACAGCAATATGCAGAGAAGCAGTAAATCCAGTGTCGTTAAACAGCGGGGAGCCGCTGGCGCTGGCAGCCTGCCCACCCGCGACGTGAACCAGGCTGGCACCGAGCGGCGAGCGGCGCGCCCGAGCCGGGCTGCCCGCCGCGCAGGGGGAAGGCCCGGGCGCTGCCCTTTCTGCCCCCCAGAGCACTCTTTGCATTCTTGTCAAATATATTTAGAACAAGAGGTGTCCACTTAAAGAGAAACATTTGTTAATCACTTAAATGCAGGCGTTTGGCAGCCCTCCAACTTCACCTCTATAAATATGTAGCATCGGTTCCCAGCTAAGCAGGAACTCCGGAGCAAGTTCCCTTTCTCCCCGCGTCCCCTCGAATTGACCTAAGGTGAATGTCCCTCGCACCTTATTAATTTTCTATCCCATGGGTTTTCCTGAGTCAATGCCAGCCTTCTATCTGGAGGTTGACGGAGATAAATAAATGACGCACAGCGGAGAGAGACGGAGAGTGGTGTTTCTTTAACTAAAGGACAGATTAAAGCTAAATTCCTGTTGACGGAGGCGCTGGTGTCCACCTCCTCCTAGTTTACCCGCAGCTGTCCCGGTTAATGACACTCCGATAACTCGCAAGGCTGCCCTGCGGTAGGGGCTGAAGCAGATAAAGAGGCCTCTGTTTAAATAGCCCAGGCCTCGACCCCGCTCTTTGCAACTGTCCTGCGTTTAAGAATCGGTGACTGTTCAAATCCTGGGAGCCGAGAGTTGTGCTCCCCAGCTTTGGAGGCCGCTGTGCGTACACCCCGGCTGTGCTGCCCGGGGCTGCAGAGCTGGGCACTGTTGTGGGAGTGGAGACTGCGGGTCGGGTGGAGGAAGGGCAGGAGTTGCAGGGCGAGGGGTCTGGAGGGACCCGTCCTTTTGCTTTAAAAACCCTGCGACTTCCCTGCCTCCAGCAAATCTTACAGCAGCTATGCCGCTGTGCTTGGAGAGCTGACTCATCCGCAGGGTCAACCACAGGAAAATCACTTTTGACTGGGGGGAACAGACTCCCTCGAAAGATTTTAACATTGTGGGGGACCAGGGCCTCCAGGCTACTCTCTGGATCCACAGCTGATGAAGCAGATGCCCAGTGGGCCAAGGAGTCCACCCCAAGCCGCAAGTTCCATCACAGGTGGGGGTGCTGGAACCCTGTTGCTGGCCACCACTCCTTCCAGATACACAGAGAAACAGAGAATACCGTTTATATCTTGTTTATTATTTATTGATGTTCCCGCCTCCCTTCCTGATGCAGCAGGCGGACTGCATCTCTCTAGACTTTTCCAGACTGAGAAGAAACCAAATCCCTCACTTGGCTTCAGTCTCAGCCTGGCAGATCCTGGGTCTTCCCTGAGACCTACCCCCGCCCTGATTAATTCATGAATACAATCCATTTAAAGATCAACAAACCCAGAATCCCATAATCTTTTTCATGCTCTAACCAGTCAAGCATACATACCTCCAATAAAGCAAACACAGAGAACAAATTCATTTCTGCTTTGGAAGTGTAGACAGTATGAAACAAATGATCTTGCTTACTTTTACCTCTCTCTTGTCACCTAAAGCTTGTCCCTTTTCCATCTCTAGAGACCTGAAGAGGAAAAAGACAAGCAAAGAATATTGAATTGCTTGGGGAAAAAAGTTCACATTTTTTATCTCTGCAGAAATTTCTTTTATATTTTTAGAAAGAAACCACTATAATGTAATTCCAGTGACTCACAGTAATGCAAAGCACATCCCTATTTGCAAACTACTCCACAACTTTCTCCTTTAGCAAAGTATTGCAAAATTATTCCTTCCATCTTAACGGAGAGTGGTATGTGGGAAGGAGGAGGGGCTGGGATGGGAGTGGGGGTGGGAAGGCGGGTATGGGGGGAAGAACCACCATATCCCTAAAATTTGTATTCATTAAATTAAAGGTCTCTTTGGGGAAAAAAAGCTATTGGAAATAAAGCTGTGATCTACAAAAAAATAATTATTCCTTCCACAAAACTGAAATTTAGCTTATAATTCTCCTTAATTACCAACTTCTATGAGTTGAATCATGTTCCCACAAAAATTAACTGTTGGGCCCTAACTCCCAGGACCTCACAAGACGGCCTTCTTTTGAGATGGAGTCTTTGCAGAGCACTGCCCCTAAATACCTGCTGTCCTTGTACAAAGGAGAAGGGTGGACACAGAAGCATGGGGAGAAGACCGCCATCCACAAGCCAGAGACAGGGGCCCGCAGCAGGGAAACCAGTGCCGAATGCACCTTGGCCTTGACTTCCAGCCTCCTGGACTGTGAGACAAGAAGTCTCTGTCTAAGCCACCTGGTGTGGGGTACTTTGTTGTGGAAGTTCTGCCGTACTAACTCATAAAGCGATTTTAACCATCCCAGTGACTTCAAATATCCCTTAGAATCAATAGTTCGAATCTTACAAATGGAGTTCCGTGTAATGGGATGGAAACTCTATAACATGTCTACAATGACCTGGACAGGGTGGGGAACTTTACAGACTTTTGTTTGTATTACACATATAAACCATTCTTTCAACAGTCAACTTTACCCAATTCAATACAAGTACTTGCAATAAGATCATTTACAGTAAACAAATGAGTACCAATTAAGGGGATTGTACCTTGCTTAGCATATTTCATCAAATTACATATCATAGAGGGTAGAACCTTCTTTATGTTAGGAGCAATGGAACTTGTTGAATTCTTCTCCATCATTTCACCCACATTTTGGATGTATCAGATAATTGATAGTTGAAAAGTTTATTGTAGGTTTTCTCAAGGACCCAGTTGTGAACAGAGATTATAAATAAGTACAATCAGTCAAGAAGGTTTATCAAGCGGGTACTCTGTATAAACGATGAGGAGGAGGAGACATGAGTGTAGAAGCCACTCCGCCTGTCTTTGGGAGGCCAAGAATCTAATTGATGAGATAGGCTATAAGCAAGCCAAGGAAAATAAAGGCTACACGAGAGGCAGTATCAGCAGCCCAGAAGAAAAGAACTCAAGAAAGGGCCCACAGATCCCTGCTATCACAATAGTAGTAGTACTAGTACTAGTACTAGTAGTAGTAGTAGTAGTATAGTAGTAGTAACAGTTCCTATTTACAGCCCCTGTCTCAAGTTTTTGAAAGAATGCTTTCTTTCACTTCTCAAAATGTCTAGAAAAAATGTGTGGTCACCCTGGCTCAGAGTTTACCAGCTTCACCGGGATGGCTCTTTGTTGTGTGGGCTGTCCTGTGCATTGCAAGCATTGCTTAGCAGGATCACTGCCCTTTACGCTCCTGATGCTGTTAGTGATGCCCCATCCAGTTAGAACAACAAAGCATGCTCCAGACATCACTAAATGTCCACTGAGGGTCAAAACCACAGCTGCTGAGGGCCTGTGTACAGGAATGATGATGAGACCATGGAAAATGATCTTCAGGAGGCCAGATTTCAGCACCTATACATAAGTTACCCAAGAGAGTTGAAGGAGGAGGGTCTTGTGCACATGAAAGGATGAAAATGATAAAGTTAACTGCCACACACATGGGAGACCTAGATAAAGCTCCTGGCTCCTGGCTACAGCCTGGCCCAGCGCTGGCCTTTGTAGCCATCTGGGGAGCAAACCAACACATGAAAGATCTCTCTCTCTCTCTCTCTCTCTCTTTGCCTATCCCTATCTGTTACCTTGCCTTTCAAATAAATAAATGAACATTTAATAAATAAACATATGTGGCCATTTGTGATTTGTACTGAAGAGAATTTTTAGTATGTCCACAGAGAGAGATTAGAATTTAAGCTGGGCCAAAAATTATGTTTGCACCTCTCTGCTTTGCAGTACGATGTTCTATATCTGCTATCTTATTAATCTTGAAACCCAGAGGTTGGATTGCGTCACAGCTGTTATTATGTTGGAGAGGAAAAAGAAGATCAAGGGAAATTAAACAACTTCCTAAGGTAATATTAATGGTAATATGAATAAGGTAATAGGATGTAAAGTGGGCGTGGTCCAGACCCAATCCACCTGATCCCAAAGCCCATATTCTTCCCATTAACATGGGTAATTTAAAAAAAAAAAAAAAGGAAGGAAGGAAGGAAGAAAGAAAGAAATGTGGTTATTGAACTTAAGGAAATGAAAGCAAATCTCCAGCCTACCCCAGGGAAGACAGGTGAACCCTGGGTCAGAAGAGAGCTACGAAGGCTTTCGGCCCCCAGGATGCAGCTCCCATCAGCACCCCACAGCGCACTAAATGACACCCCCTCCAAGAAGAGCAGCGGTTGAACATTACCTTGTTGCCTGAAAGACTTAATGACCCTCCATTTCCAACCCTCGGGATGTAAACACTGTGCTAGACTGTGGCTTTAAATGCTCTTTTCCAGCATGGGTGATATTGCAGAAAGTTCAAGGGGAAGCAGATGAGTTCACCGGAGTCTGAGCATATGCCTTTTGCTCCTGCTACCATGTTGTTTAACAGGCTTTCAGCATAGGATATCTCCAGCATTCACCGGCAAAACATAAGGTCACGGCTGGACAGACCATGGGATCATGTCCACCAGAGCCTTGAGTGAAGACGCAGCAGAGTAAGCTGTGAGGGAGCCAGGAAGCTGGAGCATCCTTGGACTGCCCGATGCCCCTCATTCCTCTTGCTCATCTGGTACTGGGAGAAGGGTTGAGGTAGGAGAAGCAGATCCACTGGGTTTGCTTCTACAGGAATACAGGAGCATGACGGAGACCGTAATCACACGTCGGGCACTCAGGAACCGCCATATGTGTAAGTGTCTCTGTGTTGCTTCAGCAAACACAAACCCAGCATACTTCAGTGCCAGACACTCTGCTGGATCCTAGGGATACCGCAGCGAACAACCCAAAATGCTGCTGCTTGCTGCTGGAGACCGAGAGCAGCTCTTTCCTGAAGGAGGTCTTGGGAAGAAAGGGGGTGGGAGGGGCTGGCGCTGTGGCATAGCAGGTAAAGCCGCCACCTGCAGTGCCAGCATCCCATGTGGGTGCCGGTTCAAGTTTAGTCTACTCCACTTCCTATCCAGCTCTCTGGGAAAGCAGTAGAAGATGGTGCAAGTCCTTGGGTCCCTGCACCTACGTGGGAGACTTGGAAGAAGCTCCTGGCTCCTGGCTTCAGATAAGCGCAGCTCTGGCCGTTGCGGCCAATTGGGAAGTGAACCAGCAATGGAAGACCTTTCTCTCTCTCTCTTTCTCTCTCTCCCTCCCTCCCTCTCTCCCTCCTTCTCCTTCTCTCTGTGTAACTCTGACTTTCAAGTAAAATAAATAAATTTTTTTAAAAGGGGGGGGGTGAGAAAGATGCGAAGTTCTATGGTATCTTCATTCCAGGCCTTTTCCAGGGGGTGACATGAAAACAGAAAACAGAGAAATGAGCCACAAAGATGTCTGGGGGAAGGAGTGTTCCAGAGAGAGGGCCACATACGCCACTCTCCAAAGGAGATCAGTGTCCTGGAAGGATGGAGGAAGAATGGAGAGCGCAGCACACCAGTAAACTGCTAAGAGATCTGCTTAATGAATTTTACCTGCTCCGTAATTCCTTATAGGAATACTTACACCACACAAGGCATTTCAAGGGGCTGGCGCTGTTGAACAGTGGGTTAAAGCCCTGGCCTGTGGTGCCAGCATCCCATATGGGCTCCACTCTGATCCATCTCTCTGCTATGGCCTGGGAAAGCAGTAGAAGATGGCCCAAGTCCTTGGGTTCCTGCACCCACATGGGAGACTTGGAAGAAACTCCTGGCTCCTGGCTTCAGATCAGCTCAGCTCTGGCCATTGCCATCATTTAGGGAGTGAACCAGCAGATGGAAGACCTCTCTCTCTCTCTCTCTCTCTCTCTCTCTCTGGCTCTACCTCTCTCTATAACTATTTCAAATAAATAAAATAAATCTTAAAAAAAAGGCACTTCAAAATGTTCATGGAAACATGGAGTTAAATGTATGAGTTCATTTTGGCTCAAAAATTTGTGTTAAATCCAGGCATAGATTTTTCATAATATATGTTTCCTACAAATGATGAAAAAACATTATTGCATCCAAGTAAACTCGCACTTATAATTTCACTGTAAAATTCTGACTCGTTACTTCCTCTGTTGACATATGTGTCAATTGTTTCCAGTTATTTGGGATCACGAGTTCAGATACACATGGTAAAGCTTTCTCTATTGTACAAGAACATCCTTATCCTTGTTGTATGTTAGCAAATTATCCTCCAGAGTGAGTCTTCAAAGTTATCACTGCTAGCATGGTATTTTAAATCTCCCTTTTCCTCACATTCTCTCAAATATTTTTTGTCATCAGAGCCTTTAACAAACATTATGCCAATCTGTTGGCTGAATTAATGTTTACACATTGACCACTGTGTCTGTCAAATTTCCAAAATTCTTTGGAGTTTTCCATCAAAAAAGTACACTGTCTCTGATCACATGATTTTCATTTCAATGATTATAGTTCATGTTTCTTTTCCTTAGATATTACACTGTCTGGGGCTAAGCTACAAGGGAAACTCTTCACTTGTTCCTGACATCTCAATATCAAATACGATGATTTTGCTTAAAAGATTTGTAGTTACTTTATCAAATTAAGACAGCTATATTTT